TTAGCAAACAAGAGTTGGTGATCATTTCCTTTATTCTCATGACCTTAATGTATGATTCAGAAGTGACACTGTAGGGAGAAATTAGATGCTAGTCACTCTTAGGAGTTAAAGGATTGAGTGGTGGTGCGATTGATTTGTAGTATTTAGAATGACAGAAGCAGCAAAGACACATTGAGCTTTGTCCTATTCACCTGTAAGTTAATTAGGTTTTGGATTCTACATTCAAACTGGGTGAGATGAAATTTATTCATATCATGCTTCATTATGATTTGTTTACTTGGAAAGGTTATTATTGTTATAGCTTCACAGATGTTTGCGTTGCCATCACAATGAACATTCATAACGTAGTTTAATTTAACAAAGAATGTTTCAAGAACTTTCTTCCTTTCTCTTCAATACCATTTACTATTTCTGGAGCACAATTAAAGGAAGCAGGTAATTCAAATATTGTAAGTACCGTACCACCTAGTGACAAAAATTAATGATTTCCTGTAAGCATGAACGTTTGGGAGAAGTTATGGGACGGTGGTAATTGACCCTTTCTTTGCTAGGATGCCTAAGGTCTGATGATTGTAATGTATGTCTTTTAGCTTTCAAACATTCAAGCTTGTATTAATTGTAACTGTTTTTCATATCTATTTCTCCTTACCTTAAGCCCTCAAAGTTGAAGCAGGTGAGTCAATAACCTGACTTCCTTTGTTTGGAATTGTGTGATTACATGATTTTGCAGTGTAAGTTATCACATTGTAACATGTAATATTATTATTTAGATTGCATTAAATATTCTTTCATTAATGTAGAGTGTTTTTTATCAATGCTCATACCCAAACTAAACATTGATGTACATAATTGGTCACAAGATATGCGAGTTTTAAAGGGTTGGAATCTGGGAAAGCAAGGATTCTCCGTCAATTAGGACTGAAATTAATGGGGGCCCTCCTTTTTTAATTCATGTTTTTACTTTGACCAACCTCCTCCCCAGTAATGTTTAGGGCAAATAAATGAAAAGAACATTGTTTGTATTTTAATGCATGACAGTTAAATTAATTGGCGTCCACATGATGCACAAAGCAAGAATATAAATGCCTTAGCTTTATAGGTTAAAAATAAAAATGAGCGAGTTTTGCAGACCATATCTTACTTTTTAGCCTCCTCTGGGTATTTATTCAAAAAACATAGTCAATATCAGTCTCATTCACTCTCTCTTTCCACTAAGCTTGTGAAAAGACGATTACTTCAGTATTTCTTTAAATGAAGAAAGGAAAGCATGACCTCCTACCAAAGATTGTTCTTTTGTGCATTATCAGTTCAAACCTGGCCCTGGTTGTTCGAAGGTTGGATAGCACTAACCACTGGATAAAACTCTATCCCATAGATAATGCTATACGTTTTGCTATCACTTATCCGCTGGATAGCAATTTATCCCCCGGATAGCGTTATCTGCCCTTTATACAACTGGGCAGTACAGCAATACAATTTGTGCACAAAGATGTTCGTTTGGGGTAAGCTAGCCTTATAAATTAGTTGTGGAAATTTCTTTAACCTGTCATTGTATGAATGTTTGACTCAGTTTTACCTCACTAACCAAAACTGAATGAATAGAAACTTGAAATTTATTCGTTATCCTTTTTAGGTGTGAATCAAAATTTTGAAGTCATTGCAGGCTTGGGAAATCCGCATGTGCATGTGTGTTCAACACATAAAACCGGGATTATGAATACTTCGAATGACTTTACAACCTGCTGTACAAGTATAGGTAGGTGTTGTAAAAAAGTTTGCTTCACTTTTTATTAGTACACATTTCTATTTGTAGGAATCTTGATTATGCGGCCTATGCTGAATTCGAATTTTTCAACCAAATTTTATTTTGTTTTGAATATACTTAGATTTCCTAGTATTGGTTAATATTCATGTAATTAAAATAATTACATGAACTCTTACAGATGTATAGCACATTATTTTTTCTTCTGATCCTACTGACATTTTATTATATGTAGGGATTGATATTGGCTATAAATGTATAGTCATATTATAGCTTTGTGCACAGCCTATGCATCAAATTTATGTAATAAAATATTGTATCCTTCTATGAACAAGTTTATCAGAACAAGAATGAGTAACCAGGCACAGGTATGGCTTTTGGGATGCTCAGTTTCCAGGTTTGAAAAAAGTCACTGCCTATTATAATGTCGGTTTGGGAAATTGAGCCAAAATCGAAAGAAACGTACAACAAGTTGTGGAAAATCGTTGGATTGAAATATAATACAAAGACTTGCCAGTAAATAGTCAATTGAAAACTTTTTACATATCAATAACATTTATTGTTGCGTTTCATGTTTACATGTTGCAACAACTCCATCTTCCAGTAAATTCAGTTAATGGCAAACACGAGAAAATACCATCTAAAACTTTTCAACCTATTAAATATAGCCAAAAAAAACCTTAACTCAACTTTTAAACTAAAGAGAAAACTTGATTGATGTTTGGAATTGATTTCTGTGATGGAAAAAATAAAATCCAGGTACTATCTCAAGTTTTCTTAAAGACACCTACACTGATGCAGCTACAGCAGAGAATACGGAAACATTAGGAAAAAACAGTGGGGCACGAAGTCATACCTGGAAATTTTAAGAAAAGATATAAGAGAAGCCCATACGACTCTGGCGTATTGTTTTACTGACTCACTGTTCTCACTCCTCAATCGACCGGTAATGTCTTAACGCGGAGTAGTTTACCGTCGTTTCTTTCGATTTTGGCTCAATTTCCCAAACCGAAATTATAAGTCACGCACAGTAGAATATAATTTTAACTGATACTGACATCAAACACTTCATCTGAAGAAGAAACATTCCCTAACTTCGAAAATTTGCTCAAAACATCTGGAGCAACAACGACGGTCTTGGGCTGTTTGAAGACACCGTTGACTAGCATGCCTGTTGATCGCCTTGCAAGTTGTGAGAACATCGTCCCCAGGTTCCAGACCTCGTCAATCGCTTTACGTCTTTTACTTCTTGTTTTTTCTTGGTCGCTCGGTCTCTTACTTTTCATCCTATTTTCACCCAAAACCCTCTCTCCACAAACTTGAATTAGAACAGTTTCCTCCCGTGGACAAAGCTTTAGCTCTAGCGGTATTCTTGCTTTGCGAGTTGATCAGAAATTGCAAAATACTGAGAATTTCTGTTCAACTTCAATCTCATCAGTTTGATTTCCCGCTCAAAACGCGGCTTGCAAATTATTTGCTTACGCGGCTTCATATCTACTTGCCCACGTCAAGCCCTCGTGCAATGCCTAACTGTGTGCCCGCGGTACGCTACACTGAGGCTGGACACTCGAATATGCACACTTCACTGTCATCTGTCGGTATCTCCTGGCGCACACTAATGAGGTATCCAAGTTACGCACGCAATCACGCCTGCGCATTACCTTCTCCCTCGCCCTTCCATTGCGTAATGGCTCAGATAGTGCCCGTGGCACAGTTGGTCGCGCATGCTAAAAGTAGCACCTTGTACAGTCGGTCGTACGGTCGCACAGTCGTAAGTCCAAATTTCTTCGGTTAGATGGGTTACTTCTATTTTGTATAATTATGGGGCTCCGCTGCGAGCTCCGCTATAATTTGGGAAGGAAAACAACCTAAGAGGCACAATTTTATGCAAGTGGAGGTTCATACTCAGCACTGGATGCTTTTCCGTGATAGTTTATTACGAAAATCCTTTTCGGATTTTCTTTAATCGAAATTTGTGATCGGCATCGACACCCGATTACAAACAGTTATAATGTAAATGACGAAAATATGGACTAGTGGGTAAACCACTCGAAAGCTTCGCCTAATTACTATTCTAGCATAAATAATGTTGACCTTGTTTTATATAGATTGTCGTTTAATCGAAGAACTGAACCTTGCAACCCTTAGTCAAAAGGTAGGATTACATCCTCCACATGCACAGTGAACAGGACTCTTGATGAGCTTAATTGAGGGACTCGAATAAATGATATCGATCGTGCCTGAGTTTTATTGTTGTTCGTCCAAGCCTCGTATTTATCGAGAAGAGATACCTTTCATGCGCTTTATTTCGTGCAACTGGGTACTAAAGGTTTTACCGGTGAGTACTTTTGACTGTAAGAGCCTTCAAAACCTGTCAAATTGATACAACTTTTTGATGCAGCTCTAGCTCGTTCAGTTCGGTTCAGCAGTTCAGCAGTTCAGCTCGGATGCTAGAATAATTTGGTAACCTGCGTACTTAAAATGTGAACAAACTTTGATTTGATTTGTTATATAGTGGCTGGAGACTATGTAATGTTGCTTCATTGATGATCTTTTGTTCATTTTCCAACATAACTAACAAACTCATCTTTATCAGCAAATTCAAAACCAAGCTCGATTAAACAACACAACGAGACGGCCTTTTTTTTCCCTCGATTTGTTGCATGGAGTTTAGAGATCGACGCTGTGTAATGTTCCTTCATTGCACAGATTCCTTTATCTGTTTTAATGGATTTTCTTTAAATGAGCTATGCCACTTTTAGACCAAGGGTGCTTATCATTAGAAAACTTGTACAAGGGAAAGTTAGGAATGTAGTATTTGACAAGGACATTATACAAAAAAAACTGACGGATAGAAAGGAAATTCCAGTTCAAAGCACCAACTTCAGAACACACTAACTTTGGAATACGCTTCACAAGTTTTCTTTGATAATTTGTATAGCGAGCAAAATTTAAAGATGTATAAATGGGGATGATATGTAGTGTTTAGCAGAGGTGAGAACAGGGATGTAACATGTGGGTAGGAGGGTGGAGTCCATGGGTACATTTGACCCACACCCCTGCCCCAATGTACTTGCAGAGGAAATTAATTTCAGTTTACGAAAATAGAACATTTCTTTGTCGTAGCTGATTTAATTTTGGATCCCTGACATCGCTTTTCGTATCTACTGGTATTTTTTACCAATGCGCGATGGATTTGACGCGTTCCTTACACAAATAAGACAGAATCCAGACTTACATCCCAGCCAGCTTAGTGTTGCTACTGAAAATGCCCGATCGTAATTTCTTCAACTGGTTGTCGTTCAACCACCTGCCAAAAGCAATAGAAAAGGGTATTGATTACATTGTGCTTGTCGGACACTGTGTATGCTCGAAAATGTCGTATTTTGTTTTAATCTACAAAAAAAGTTATATTCTCTAAGAACCGGTTTTGTATATAGAGACCTAGAGTAGCACTACGAATTACAATCTGGCACGAAACTATTTGAGACTTCTTAGTTTTTTTGTCGTTGTTAAGCACTGAAAACAACTGAATGCTTTACACATGCCTTTTCTCCCTCCTCCCATTACCCACTGTTGTAATACGTAGGGCTTGACATTGCTAATCAAAGTCAAGATGTTGAGTCTTTTTTTCTGTCTAAAGTAGCTTGTAGAAAGGTTTAAAATCAAAAGAAACCCGGCTCGTTAGTGTTGTGGTCAGGCTCCATCAAGCAGAATTTTCATGCTTTATAGCCAGTGCTATGTACTCCTACTCAAATGACGACAGTTAGTGTGAGTTAGTGTGGGTAACAAGTATTCAGCTGCTTTAACAATCTAAACGCATTATCATTATCATCAATTCTTTTAAACAGTTAGAGATGTTTTGGGTAAGAACCAATCAAATTCATTTATAAATGTCATCCATCTATGATTTCTCCGATTACATCTTTCTTATGAGGGATCCCGATAAATTTGTTTGATTCCCTTTTTACTTATTACGACTAATTCGTATTGTTGGACTGCTTAGGGAAAGGGTGACTTCCCATGGTCACCGCAGAGTAAAAGAGCCGCAAATATGTTCTCTTCTTTAAATCTATCAGCTCTTGAAATCTCAAGCGTTCGTCTTCCATATTTCCTAGTAGGGATGTGAATGTTCTGTGTTTAATGTCGTGAACTTTCTTGAGTACTGGTGATTGTGGCGCTTGGTTCTTACAGGATATAATATTTGGGGCAGACTCTGACATAAAAGAATACCGATCGTTGGCGTTCGTAGAATCCACATGCAAGAATGACCAGCGTTGTGCTTTGTTAGCTCCTCTGCTTAGCTTTTCTCTGCCTGTGTCTTGAAGAACAGGTTCGCCTTCAGCGTTGCTGCATACCGTACTTATTAGTTCATCGTCCATGTCTCTCAGCTCATTATGTCGTTGTATGACAAAGCCACCTCATTTAGAAATAATGGGGGGTCTAATGAAAAAATTTCTCGCATACGCAAGTGGAGGAAATATCATTGACGATCCAGTCTTGGCGAAGTTTACTGAACTCCTGTTTAATCAGGTTGGAGCCCATTTCTTGGAGAGGAAGAATGGTCACCCACACTGATAACCCTCTTTTAGCTGCCAGGTGTAGCACTCGCTTGATCTTTGGTGGTCCCTTGACCCTAATCCTCTTTCTTTGACTGCTACTACTCTTTCGCAACTGAGTTCTGTGCCGACTTAACAAGAGACTCTTCTGGTAGCTGGTGTGTTGAAGATGCAAGTCAACAAGGGGCTTGTCACTTTGACTGAAGAAGCGAGCTCCCGACTTGCTTCCCGGCCCGGATTTGCAAGGCACAGGCACCTCGCAAGCGGACTAGGAGCGTTAAGATGTCTCTATTTTACTGATTATACTGGCGTTCCCTCATCGCAAGAATAAGTATCAGAGATATTACATTCTGCAGTGGCTCTAGTCGATCCTGGATGTCGGGCAGTGTTCCTGGATAGTAAGTTTACCAATGTTTTGAGCCGAAGGTGAAGTGGCATAGCATGCTTCTGCTGCGTGTCTGAGCGGCAGAAGCATGCCGTCCGCTTCCTTAAATACTTCTTTCACACTTTCTTTCTTGTCCGGCTTTGCGATAATCCATCACTCTTTGTCGTTTGAGAAGTAACCAAAATCTGGACCCAGGGTACTCAACAAGTCCCTATATCTCTTCATTTCTGTAGTAGAGCCTGTCTTACCTGCATTATCGGCGAACGAGTACTGCTTTGCTGTGGACGTCACCTGCAGAGTCGTAATCAGTCTGGATTCTAACAGCACAAAGAGCCATAGCGATCACATTTCCCTGTGTGGGCCTTCCTGCTTAGTGACAAGATCTCTTTACCACCAGCGATAAGTTAATAATTGCCTCTACGTCTTTGTCACGAACGTACTTATAATGCTTACTTCTGTTTTTATTGATTTTGTGACTGGTCCTTTGAGCATCACCACGTTCATATAAAAGCTAAGTTAGCTTCACTCTACAGTATTTTTCCCTTTTATTTTGAGTGGCCTTGTCAACTAGGACCTCTGGATGTTTTCTGACTCTTGAACCTTGGCTAAAGTAGGACCGATATGCGAGTACCTTTGTAATACTACTTTTAGATTACGATTTATAGTTATAGGCAAAAATATTCCAAAGAACATAACTCTTTCATGTCCTGCATGACATGGATGAGGACAGTGGTCTACATTCAGCCATTCGATTATACTTATGAAGTGTCCTGCAAGTAACTTGATGGCTTTAACAATCGTACAGATCTAGTGGTCCGGCCTCCACTACTAGAAGCTTGTCGGGTGTTCCAGACAGAAGCTAGGCCTTACTTGGCCACTGCCACTGGATTTGTCCAGTTGTCTAGGTAATATTTGAGTCTCAGCAAACGGAGGTGCTTGAGACTCCTCTGGAGTGGCTCGAATGGATTGCCGCTGGGAGAAGGAAGAAAACTCAGACAGAGACTGAGCCTTATTTGGTATTGCCACTTTGGCTTTGTCTAGTTGTTTAAGTAGTTTTGTGGCATCTGCTAACGGAGGTGCTTGAGGCTCGTCTGGAGTGGGTCGGATGGGAGGCTGCTGGGAGATTATCTTTTGCATATAGGAAGCCATCCAAGATTGTATTTTCAACCTTTGTAAAGTTGGGTCACAAATCTCTCTCTTTCTCTTCTTCCCCCCCCCTCTCTCTCTCTCTCTCTCTCTCTCTCTCTCTCTCTCTCTCTCTCTCTCTCTCTCTCTCTCTCTCTTTAGATTCATCAGTGAGTGTTTGCTACGCGTTTTCTCTATGCCTATTTAAATTAAGTAAAAGTTTTTTTTTAAAGTATTTAACAATTCTAGCCAAAAGAATATTGCTTTTTAGCTCTCTTCTATGCAAAACCAACGTTATTAAAGTTTAATTGTTGTTCGCATTTCGTCACTGAAAAGTCAGAAGGTAGCAAATACCCAAACCTAGGTACATCAATCATTTTTTTTATAAAATTCAAAAACTTTTCCGGATATCAAAGGTCTTCTAAATGTTCTTCTTTGCCGTAAAAGCCTTCTGAGTTCTGTCGTTTTAAAATTTTTTCTGTGAAGACCATTTTTAGCAAAAAGTGCGCTTCTGGGTATGTAGGTGTACAAGACTTGAAACTTTGGAACCCAAACATTTCTAAAAATGCGTTTTTCGCATTATTTCACTTTTAGTTCATTCTAATGCCATGATTTTCGCATGCATGGATGACGCATTATTTTTTAAGAATTTACAACGTGTTTACAAGCTATTCCATTCATTTTTATCAATTTTACGAGCGAAATTCTGCATGTAGCAAATACCCATTTTATGTAGCAAATACCCACTTGTAAGTAGCAAATACCCACTTTGCCAAATTGATGGGACATTTTTACTTATAAAACTTGAATAAAGCGGAATTCTGGTAATTTGTTTGCATAGCTAAAAGACGCCTTGTGAAAGGGAACATGGAAAATAATTTAAACATTTTTTAAAAGTGTTATTATTTGAATTAAAGCAGAAATATCGTGACTGAGCGACATTCAAGTTAAAAAGAGAAGCGGAGCAATATTGACAGTTAAGATGATTTCCCTGCCTAGTGTACTAATTGAATTAACAAAATAAAGCTTTTTTAGACCATTTTTTACTGATCACGTGGACAACAACAATTTTTTTCACGTCGGCAACGTAGGGGGTGGTTACCCAATCCCCCGAGCCTAATGGCTCATGTTAAAAACGCTCGACAAAGATGATAAAAACGCAAAAATATCACTTAGCTCCCGATGCTGAACTTCCCCTGAAACCCTACCAGCCCTAATCACCTAACATTATAGCCCTAACCCCAAGCCTAATTACCAATTCATAACCCTACCTCTACAATTGTATACTAATACACTTATAGGCTTACAGCCAAGCGTAGTTATGCGAGATAGGCCAGACTTAAATTCCGATAAAGTGGTTGCTGATTTAATTGAAGATGGTAACTGGTTCCAAGAATGAGAGATAGTGTATGAAAAGAGCTCTGAATATGGCTAGAGGTATTTACAGGCTGGGAAACATTAAGAGCAGAGGAGCGCAAATTGTAATGACAGACTCTAGGTGTAAAAAAATTAGAAATATACGAAGCTTCCTGTCGCTTGTATACCTTAAACATGATTAAAGACGCAGTAAAACGTCTTGGGTTAAGGTGTCCATACTAGCAGGCCTGAGACAGTCTTTGTACTCAGTAGATCTACTTAAATTAAGCACAGTTCTTAACGCGTAAAAATACATTTTTCCAGCTTATTTTTTCAGGGAAGTAGATTCCCAACAAAAGAGGGGAACAGTAAATGATACCCTTTCATGTACAGGGATTCCACCTTAAGTTTGCTAGCACAAAATTTAGATACTCTTACTAAATGCGCAAACGGCTAATTTTCAGAAGAGACATGACGCTTTACTTTACAAACATGGCCACTGGTTTTTCGATAGATTTTATTGCTGTTAATTGGATTTATGAGCAAAACTCTACACCTAGCAAATTCCCATTTTATGTAGCTTATCACATACAGGGCAAAATTACTAAGTGCTGATTGGCTGAGACAGAGGGCATTTTTTCTTAATCACGAGGGTACTTTTGGTAATCAAAAGGGCATGATTACTTGATCTTGATTGGTTTAAAGTTGCTTTGTAATGAAGTTATTGCTTAGATTTGTTGCCGATTAAAATTTTCTGCAACAATGGCTTCCCATTTTGTTGAAGAGTTTATTGAGGAACTACTAAACACAAGTGAGCACAAAAACACAAAAAGAAGTACGGACTACTGGACTAACATTTTCCAACAATGGGCAAAGACAAGAGGAAAAAATGAGCAATGTCGCGGCATTGAACGGGCTTCCTAAAAGAATAACGTCGCGCGTGAATGGATTCCCGCGATAATTTTGCCCTTTATGTGATAAACAAGAAATCGCAAGTGCCCTCGGGCAATTAAGGATTAATTTCACTGGTGTTTTCAAAGTTTGGAAATACGCGTGAAATTAATCCTTAATTGCCCGAGGACCCATGCGATTACATATACATATCCTATTGACAGCTCGCATACAAGTTTGGGCGTGCGTGTTGATCATCCTTAAAGCTCTATGACAATGGCGATTTTAGCTGCAATTTCACCAGTTTGTGAGGTTTACAGAGCGATATAAATATTTTTAAAAGCAAGTGGATATTAGTTAAAGGTTAATGGACATCGTAGAAAGACAACAATAGATAAAGTCTTAAGTATTCTAATGTTATCTTTGTATTGGCTCATTTAGAATAAAACACCAATATTTAGGAAGGGGGTTATGCGATATCGCTCTATTATGACGACAAAAGTTGCACTAGGGTAAAGTTAAACCCATAAAAAAATATTTAACTGTTAACATGTAATAGTTCAATAGACACTAAAGGAAACAACGAAATTAGTGGTTAATAAAGTGTGTTAGTCTAATATGTATTTCACGGGCTTAGTGACTTCACCCTAAACTTTTCGAAAACGTCATGAAACTTCCACAAAATCTCAACTGGAACTGCACTTAAAAAGACAATATATTGCAGGTTCATGACAACGAGTCTCAAAGTAAACTCTTTTAATTCCAGATATAAGCTTTATCACTTGGAGCTAAGTTTTTAAACGACAACTTTTGCTTTATGAAAAATTCAACTTTATAACACCTCGCAACAAGACCAAGACAAGTTAAATCTTTTTCATAGAAGTCGATGTCCTACACACATCAGTCACCAAGACAAATTCTATGACTCTTAAGGCCGATTTCCACGATGCGATTGTAGTATATGACTCTTAAGGCCGATTTCCACGATGCGATTGTAGTATATGACTTGATGCATGTGACCCGAATCATACCATATAAACGGTCATTCGTCAGGTCGTACACGACC